ATTAACAAATTGATTTTTTTTTAGTAAATAAGTATTTTTGCTGTAATTCAAATTGCAAAGTAACCTTAGATAGACCACCAATGAAAACTTGGAAGCACTAGATAGCTGTTTCACTTTAGTAAAAGACTTCTCAGTAGTGTGCATTCAAAACCGAACCATTGGGGATCAAACCCAGGACTATCGGTTTCGTACAGAAACGTTTAGCCTCTAACCCACTAAACCAGCATCCGACATTGTACGAGCCTATTTTCAATCATTCTGAGATGTAGTTGTAAAGAGTGAATTGATCACGTTTCTACAGTATGACATAAACAAAGGTTTTAACCTTAAAGAACCTCTCACTGAACATTAAAACACCAAAACCAGAATCTGAGTTGAGTTACTGAATATGTTATGAGTTATGTAATAAACATTTAACTGATCGCCACTCATTTCTTAATCACCTATGGCTGAATGTGACAAAAGAAAAAGATTTCAATAATACTAGTATAAGTGACCCAAACCTGAACTTAAACGTTGGATTAATTAAACAAGATACTAGTTCCTAAAGTCAGCATGTATTAGTACTAAAGGTTATCAGCTCATAGAATGAAGCTCATTTGGGTTGATGTTTTCATGTATCCCTAGCTCAAATAACGCAACTCAATCGCAAAGAAGATATCTATTCTCAGGAAAGAGATCCGATAGACTCATCCGATTCACTGACATCGCGCACCTATGCGCACAGTCTAGGTTAAGACCAAATTACAGATGAATGTTATTGATAGATTAATGTTCTTGGTTGAGATTCGACTAAGTTATTTGAGGTATATATATAAGCATCAGTTAGTTTGTGTACATTTTGGATTTAGTTGATCAATACATATTCTTATTCCTACCTTGACTTCTCACTGAAGTAGCAGGTATGATTCACATATAGGAAATGTTTATAACAACATTGGAAGATCGCTCAACATCACATTGAATGAAGTACTTTCAGTTTAGTTATGTTAGGGAAATAAACTGATAATATTAATATAACCAGAGAAGCTCTAATCTATGTTACATTGACACAAACAACAACTCGAAGCATCTCAGAAGATGGTAGTAAAAACGATGGCGCATATTAATTTATTTAGGCTGAGAACTAGGAGTTTAGCGTTAAACACTTGGTTTTGAAGACTTAGGGTCACAGTTAAGTGTTTGAATCAGTTGTTCAACGTTAAGGTTTGGGTCAGTATCACTGGTGTCAGGGTGGAATTTAAGCATACGGTTGGTTTGTGTACAAAATATCAAGTGAGTGACTTTTATTGTAAATTATAGAAAAATAAAGTTATGAGAGCCTTTAGTGATTACACACTTTAGTGAATTCACATTTTATTCATTCGTTTACTTAGCCTACAATTGGCCGGTATCTTTGTGCTATCGTTTATGAGAAACTGTTTAGTAATATACATCGTCAATCTTTCTTGTTAACTTTAATTAATTTGAGTTTTGTTCTTACATTGATTTCACAAAAGATTCATCAAGTTCTAAGCCTTGGAAGATTCCTCAATATCTTTGAACTTTATATGTTTAAATGAGTTTGACCTACTATAGTCAAATTGATGGTCATAATTATTGCATAATCCTGAAATAATTAGCTCCGTACCATATAGTTAGGTATCCAACTATTGTACATTGAAAGTATTAATTATTGTTAGCCTTATGGGCCTACATAGCGGTATTACCCAAAAATTAAGTTAACTTTGTTACAGACATTAGATATTTCTTCCTTAACGAAAACAGATTCACTAATTTCTTTATTCTTATAACAAAACAATCAATCGATAAAACTCTCGGCTAGGTATGGTAAACATGTGGGCATTCTATTAAAGGATAAAACAGTATATATATATATATTGGTCACTGATACAAAAATGAATTAAACTTCCCCCCATTGTACAAGCTGGTGGCTATCTGGACTCAATAACTAAGTGGATAATGTGCTGACGTTTGGAGCGAACGATACTGGGTTCAAGTCCCGGAGTGAACATCGACTTAGATACAAGTACATCTAGCTGACGACTTCTAAAATAGGACGAAACATGCGTCCTGGATTCCACTGCTAGCCACCGTCATCTCAGTTTATAATTCTTGTAACTTAATTCAATGTCGAGGTAGTCCACACAGAATGTACACCTACCAATAAGAGGCCGATTAATTGCAGTCTTAAACATCAATGAGAAGATTCACACAACCAATTCAAAAATGAAATAAACATTTTTCTTTAAAGACAATATATTTACAACAAAATAGTATAGATATGAGTAAAACAACCCATAACAAATAGTTATTCTTAGATTAAAAAGGCATAATATAACCGGTAAAGTTATATGTTTGTGTGTATTTTACAGTGCTTTTGACCATTTTTGCACTGCAACAAGATATGGAAATCAAAGTGGTATTAAACCATGTAAATTTTTCTGTTGAAACTTCTGTTATAATACTGTCATTAGATTAGACGTATATGTCCCCTATGTCCTTTAGATCCAGTCACTGATGCGTAGATTTTAGGAGCTACATTAGATAAACTGTATTTTGAATAAAATAGGATACTAAATCGTTTTTCTTAACTGTGACCATGTAAATCAATAATTCTATATCCTCAGCTTTTTTTAAAATCTGGTGTGAATTGAAACTAACCACATAAATTAAAGCTAGTGATTTACCCTGATGACGATTTCTGATGAAACTTGAATAACTGGAGTAAAATCCTAAGTAAATGAATATCAGAGGGAATGAATTATTACTCGGTAAAGAGAATCTTTTTTATGAAACACATGGAATATTAAGTATTATTTAAAACATATACCAAGGAAAAATATTCTAAAATATAACACAACAAGTGTCGATGAAATCACACTTGGAAAATAGGAAAGCTTTTACGCACCTCGAGAACATCGTTGATAAGCAAGAATGATCGGGTGCGGATATATAGGCATGGATGGACAAAGAAAGGGTATGATTCCTACAACTGAAGAACATCTGAAATTCAAAATGACTATCAGCCAACAACAAAGCCAGAATCTTCAATACTAATATCAAGACAGTTTTACTGTACGCAGCTGAAATTTAATGAACTACTAAAGAGATCATCAGAAAGGTACAGGTGTTCATAAACAGCTTTATATGTAAGATACTACAGATCCGTTGACCCGATACCCTCAGCAACAACCTGCCGTGAGAGAGGACAAACCAATTTCCCGTTGAAGAGGAAATTAGGAAAAGACTTTGAAGGTGGATAGGACATGCATTAAGTAATTCATTAAACTGTATTACGAAGCAAGCCGTAACTCGGAATCCTCAAGATGAAAGGAAAAGAGACAGACCAAAGGACGAGGCATAAATCAAAAGGATGAATAGGAATTGAGAACAAGTGAAAAAAAGGAGCCCAGAATAGAGTTATTGGTTTGAGATTTTTGCCTAGTGGTCTATGCTCCACAGAGGGTAACAAGCATAAGTAAGTAAGTATGAAGGGAAAATATTGGTTTTATTGATCACTCATCACCTAGTAACAGGGTGAGTGTAAATAACCAAGTCACATAGTTACCTCCATTGCAATTACAATATTCTCCACTATTCTTTAATAACTTGACATTGATAACTGTCTAAAAAAAAGTTCAATAAACTTAATATTTATTCTAGCACAACTGGTAGGAATAACAAATTTAATACATACATAACTTAGAGACCATGATGTTATCGAATTTTCCATTTACTTGTTTTTACAAAGAAATAAACTACAGATAATTAAATGTAATCAAATGTATAAAAAAAGTCATTATCACTATGTTCATTTACATTTGTTGGTAGCAAAACGTGACTTATGGTTAACTCCACACATATCATAATGAATTTTTTTCCATAACAAAAAACCAATATTATCCAGAACTTTAATTAATATAATGAATGCATAATATGTTTATCTGTTGAGTAATCAAGCGCATATTAGTTTGTCTTTTTAAAATTATGTTGGTTATATCATGAAAGTATAATTACATCAGAAGGGGTTTTGTGGAGATTTTAATAATTTCAATAATTCAAATCATGAGTTAATTGAAGCAAGACCACCATGGAAAACTTGGAAGCACTGGATGGCCGTTTCATCCTAGTATGAGACTCGTCAGAAATAAGAAGCCGTGATCAGTGAAGTTCAATCAGGTCTGTTGTGAGATATCAACTCACTGAAGACAATGGTGTACGGTGGTATAATTTCGTGGATTGGTTGAAGTTGGACATTAACCCCGTTGGAAGTCGACTCAGTAGTCTAGTGGTTAAGCGTTGAGGAGTCCCATACTAAGACAAAGCGGCCATCCAGTGCCTCCACGTCTTCTGTTATGGTCTAGCTTCAATTGACTCATGAATTCAACTATTAATATTCTTTGAAATTGTGACAGCTGGCTAAATGAAATCATTCTTTTACGTAACAAAGTATTTGTTTATTACAATAAAGTAGAGAGTAACTATAAACTGTTCGTCTTTTAACTATTATTATTACTATTTCAAACGTATTTTATACAGATTGGTTTAATTAAGAAGATGTGTTTGTTATCGATTGATTTCATGGACCTGCAGGTTTTATTATTTATCCCTGTTTAAAGTGTGTGGAACAAAGTGAAACACATATCTACTACTTCCTGATTTTTAATGGTACACAGAAAAAATAAATCTTTGACAAGGATCATATACACATTGAACCAAAATTCTCAAAACTTTTTCAACTAAATCTCTATTTGTAATTGAAAATGAACACATCAACTTGATATTTTATGATGGTCAGTGAATAGTTAGATCACAATAATACAGGGATATTCCTTCTCCTTTCTCATTTACAAAAGTTATCCAGCCTTATTATGAATAGAAAATTTTCACTAATTATTTGATTGATGTTAATAATACTCTCAATGGAGAATTCCTTCCAAATCCGTTAGCAACTAAACATTCATACACAATGTCAAACAATGAAAACCTGTTCCACTTCAAGTCAAATTTGCTTGATTTTCACAATCAGTGTGACACAATGATTGATGATAAATCGATAAAGTCATTAATTGTAAAATAACATTTATCAATAGACAGTAGAATAAGTCATTCATCATTAACAAAGAAGATTCATAACAATATACCGCTATTTGATTTGAGCTGAATGAAATGAAATTGAGTAATATACAGCATTCCATATAACTGGATGATAGACGTTCTACTTCACGTCACAGACTCATCTGAGTTGGACAACAATTGAAAACTGGAAAGTGGTAGAATGACATCTATCTCATTCTCATTGTACAGCTCATCCACCCTACTCATCCTTGATCATAATCACCAATCGAACACAAAACAACCAAGTTTCACAGTGGTTGTTTACTCATCAAATCAGTGTGTCGGCATCCATCTATCCATCCATCCATCCATCGATTCACATCTGCAACTTCAATCATTGAATGTGGAGTAGTTGGAAATACATTGTGTGATTATTGAATCAGTCAAATTCTTGTGGTATTCAATAACTCGTTTTGGTAAATAGTTGTTTCTACCACAAATAGGACACCCACATTGACAACAACCATGATTCCCGTGCTGACAGATGAAGCTTCATATTGATTGACCATTGAGTATTAATCGATAAATGATGTATTTGTCTATCCATTTTGGTGCTGATCGCATTATTTGAAAATGTTGATGATGATGATGATGATGATGATGATGATGATGATGATGATGATGATGATGATGATGATGATGATGATGATGATGATGATGATGATGATGATGATGATGATGATGATGATGATGATGATGATGATGATGATGATGATGATGATGATGATGATGATGATGATGATGATGATGATGATGATGATGATGATGATGATGATGATGATGATGATGATGATGATGATGATGATGATGATGATGATGATGATGATGATGATGATGATGATGATGATGATGATGATGATGATGATGATGATGATGATGATGATGATGATGATGATGATGATGATGATGATGATGATGATGATGATGATGATGATGATGATGATGATGATGATGATGATGATGATGATGATGATGATGATGATGATGATGATGATGATGATGATGATGATGATGATGATGATGATGATGATGATGATGATGATGATGATGATGATGATGATGATGATGATGATGATGATGATGATGATGATGATGATGATGATGATGATGATGATGATGATGATGATGATGATGATGATGATGATGATGATGATGATGATGATGATGATGATGATGATGATGATGATGATGATGATGACGACGATGATGATGATGATGATGATGATGATGATGATGACAAGTCAATCAGAAACATCGTATTGCGTAAATTATTAGCATACTCTTTGTTCAATAACTACCTTATTTTGTACGCCGAAATTTGTAATTTATAACCGTTGCACTAGTGAATGACCATTATGTCTCAGTAACTATGTGGACAATACATTGATGTTTGCAAGGAAAGATATACTGATTACATCCCTGTTTAAACATCAACAATGAGTGGGCTTCGGGTGCAATCAAGTGACGTATTCTTAATAGGACGAATGATGTATCGTGAATAATCCTTTTAGCCATTATCTAATTGTGCTTAAAAAGAAACATATTTTCACCTGGATTCAATTCTATTTATACGTATATGATTTCATGGTTAGAATGTAAGTGATTGAAAATGATCATGATTGTTTTGAATCATTTAAGTTGAAATAGAATAATTTGAAAATCTTAGAAAAATCAATCCCATTGAAATCATGAAAGAATACTTTTTATTAGCAAAATTTTCTAAGAAAAGAAATTTTTTTTCTAATGTCATTAAGTTTAGCTAAACATGAAATTCTTTTGTTGAAAATAATAATAATAACAATTTTTGAATAGTTGAGATCGTGAACCAATTGAAGCTAGACCACCATGGAAAACCTGGAAGCACATTAACATCGTTGAATGCCGGCTCAGCGGTCTAAAAGTTAAGCGTTCGCACGCGAGACCAATAGGTCCTGGGTTCGAATCTCGCGGGGGGGGTGGAACAGTAGATGCGCACTGCTGACGAGTCCCACAATAGGATGAAACAGCCTTCCAGTGCTTTCAGGTTTTTCATAATGATCTAGCTTCAATTGACCAATGACCTCAACTATTAAAATTACTATAATATCCGCAAAACCCCTTCTGAAATTCTGAATAAATTATCTTCAAAGTGATGTAGTCGAATTCAGTCCTATTTTTATAGATCAAAGGAGAAAATTATTATATCACATAATGAGATTGGTATGAATAATGACTTAATTGTAATTCGATTGGTTTCTATGTCAACCATCGAAGGTCCTGGTTTTGATCCACAGTGATGAAATCATGGATATCCACTTCTCAATCTTATACTAGGATATAACAGCTATCCTCTCAGTTCTCATAGTTTTTTTCGGTAGTAGTCTGCCTAAAACCAGTTCCTGATTATTATTCAGGCAAAATTGTGAAAGTCACTGTATGGCTACTGATCTAAACATCATATTTTATAATCAATTTTATTTAAGATAAAGATTATGCATTCTTATGTTGCTCAATGATCTCAACAGTCATTAGTAGATTTTGTATGGTGTATTAATGCAAATTAGGATTAGCCACTAAATTAGATACTACTTCTGTTCAGTTAACTAACTGAACCGTTTAGTTAAGAATAAAACGCCGTTCATGTTAGCGCTTACCACCAAATAAAATCTATAACTTCAAAAGAACCTCTTATTTTACATCATATTCGCCTTTTTTTTAAACAAACCTGGATACTCTAATGAAAATGATATTTGTAGAATAAAAGAAAATTATATTTTATTCACTTGTTGTTGTTTTACTTGTATCTTCCCATTGTTATTTAGGACTGCACCTGATCAATTTCTTGTTGGCATATGTGCATCCTGTGCGGATTGCATCGATATAGTCTTAAGTCACAAGCTTGTTAAGCAAAGATGGATAGTTGCTAGTAGCGGAATCCAGTTTGACGCGCATTTCGTTCTATTTGGGACTCGTCATATGGATGTACCTGAATCTCAGAGTTGATTTTCACTTCAGGACTCGAACCCACTACTATTCGCTTCAAACTCCATCGCGTTATCCACTTAGCTACTGAGCCCTGATTATTATTCATTTCTTTGAATTCTCACATACATATGATATAGTAAGACAATGTTCTTAACAAATACAATCTAATCACTGTTAATTATAGTTTACATTAACTAAATATTGAAGTATACTTGAAGTGAACGAACGCTTAGGTGAGGGAAATTAATTCATTGTTTAACACAAAATTACTGAATGTCTTCGTAAAATATGAGAACCATACATTAAATACTTCATTTGCAAATCTTTCATCAACCGTGCTTCACATTCTATATGATTCTTCCAATTCATAATTCTTTTCTATTCCCTTTTCTGTTTTCCCCACCTCAATAGTCTTAGCCTTCTGTCAGGTTTTCCATCTCTGACAGGTGTTACATATTACTTACGTCTATACACATAAGTAGCATACGGCGCGTACTCAAAGACGATATTAAGATCTTCCTGAGATAAAAAATAACTTGAGTATTTAATCTATATAGTGAGAACATCGAATACTAGTGTAGATTCGATATGGTTATAATACATATATATAGTGTTACTTGTAGTGTACTGAATAGTGAGGATTTAAGTAATCAGTGCAGATGCTTCGATAGACTTGTCTAAGCTATCTGCAATACAATAACTTAAATACCGTTGAAAAATTTCGTCACAAATTTCAATACAGTCGCCATATTTAAGGCCATATAAAGGCTTCCAAAGAAATATACTTGGTACGATTTTTTGAATTAACAAACTTGACCAAACCGTGAACAACAAACGTAGAAGAATTAACATGTATTCAATTTATTTCGTAGATTTTCTTCAGCTTCTGACAACCCAAAACATAATGGTATTCATCGTTTGAAAACAGTGTATATAATTTATATCATAATACTACTGAAGTTCTCACCAATGAAGACTAGTAAAAAGAACAAGAAGTGAGAACTATAAGTATAGAATTATAAGATGTTTTACAATTATATGGATGGATTTCTCTATTGAACATCCTCCTATGGTGTGTGCTACTGATGTCGACAGATATAAGTAGTATGTATCATCAATTTAGAGTGAAATGCATGGCAGCAGAATGTTGAGAAGATTGAAGAAAAGAGAACGAGAATAGAGGGTGATTGATATGGATATGAAGTAACAATGAAGTCTGAGACGATTGACTGATATTTTGCAAATGAAGTATTTACTGTATGGTTCTCAGATTTGACTAAGTGATTCTGCAATTTTTTGTTCAAATACATTTGGTTATCCCCACTGGTGTTGTCGTTCACTACACTCCGGCTATAAGATAGAAGAACTGACATTCAAACTCAAGATATTCATTGTTTAAATTTTTCAAAATGTAGGTAATTTTTAATTCCTTTCTTTTCAAATTGTAAATTTCTCCATCATATTACGTAATGAAACAGGTCAAGAATCGAGCTTAATATAGCCTTATTAATGAGTAGATACCATGTACTTGCCAGATTTTCTAATCATTTCCATGTTAAATGATTTATATTCATGCTTATTCTTATGTTTAACATCTACATAAGTGTGTTACTCTGTTAGGAGAAAAAACCTATTCTACTAGATAATTTTCTTATCTTTTGTGTAAAATCAACTACAATGCTTACATTATAACAATCGGATCTAATGAATATCCATCATTCAGTCATTTCTTATTATTACATAACATCTATTGATCAGCTTTAGATTCATTCATTAAACAATCTGTGAACCTGTTCATAAAATTCACACCATAACATTAACAGTAATTTTAATTTCTAAAAAAGAATGAAAAACTGTCCAACTTAGAAACATGATTTCATTGCATAACAATAAATTACTTTCTCATTAAATAGCAAGGAATGTTGTAAGTAACGAAAAAAACATGGAAATTGTTTGCTTTTTTTGCTGTTCAAATAATTAATGAATTTTTTGCACTAAAACATACTTGAAAATGAAATTGGACACAAGTATTTGCAAGTGAGTAAATTCTTGCATTAGTTGTTTGAACCTTTCCATTAATGTTTTAGGACTGCAGTCAATCAGCCTCTTATTGGTATATGTATATACTGTACAGATTGCCTAATTATGGTCTTAAGTCACAGGCATTACAAGTAGTAGCTAAGTGAATAAGGTTATGGCATTTGAGGTGAACGGCACTTGGTTCGAGTCCTGAAAAGAACATCAACTTTGGGATACAAGTACATTCAGTTGAAGAGTCCCAAATAGAACGAAACGCGTATCCTAAATTCCACTACTCGCAGCCATCCATCTCTGCTTAGATTGTAAATAAGGGAACATTTTTTTCAATGAAAAATAAACAACTTTATCTCTTTTTGTTAATGTAACTATTTCAGCATTTTGTTAGTTAGAACTATTAAATATACATAAATTATATTGTACGCTTGTGTACTATGAATTATTTGATATTTCTAACAATAAGTTTGTAATATCATAGCGTAAATTCATTCTAATTGACTATAAGCAAATTATACACATGAAATATATGTTTACCTTCAGGTTGATATAGTAAACATTATAAATAGTATAAATACAGAGTATTCAGAAGAAAATTTGAAACAAAAAAAGGATTTTGTGGATATTGTAGTAGTTTAATAGTTGGATTCATGGGTCGATGTAAGCTAGACTACCATTGAAAATCTGGAAGATAATGGTGGACGGTGGCCTAATTTCCTAGATTGGTTGTAGTCAGACATTAACACCGTTAGATACCTGCTTAGTGGTCTACAGGTTAAGCGTTCGCGTGTGAGACTGATGATCCTGTAAGTCAAGTCCCGCGAGCGGGACTCGTAACTGAATTTCTCAAATGAAAATAAATTTAACTATATACTTCAAGAACTAGCCTAATAATATATACGAAGTTGGAAGATCGTTTATACTTGGAGTCAGAGAAAATTCTTTCTGAACTATATAATAGAAAATCAATTAGTATTACCACTTTATGTTCTTATAAGTTGTAATGAAATACACTTCAGTTATCATTGGTATTCAACCCCCTTTGGATGAGTGCAAAGTTGATCGTCGATTTAATCTTTAGAATAGTATTCGTTTTTAAAAAAATAGAATTACATTAACACCGACTGTTCAAAAATGTCATATGATTATAATCCGTCAAGCTTCAAAGTGTTTTTTAATGTATTGATCAAAGTAACAGTTATCTGATTCATCATAGTTCATTACTTCTTAAAACCCTACATATGAGACCTTGCATAG